TCCTTTGGAATCGGAATTGGAATGGTCCATTCCCATAGTTTGTTTGGTTCAGACAGGAATGGGAATAAGAATTGGAATCAGCAGGAATAGGATTTCATTCCCAAGAGAGGGGCAGGGAATGGCCATTCCCTCAAATGGGGGTATGCCATTCCAACAGGAATGGGAATGGGATTCCGATTCCGCCCAACCAAACAGTTGGAATTGGAATGATTCCGATTCCAATTCCAGACCTCTATTCATGTGAACCAAACGGGGCCTAAATGTTGCATGGCTACTCCCACCTCAAGACTATGTGAAACTGAATTTTGATGGGAGTAGCAAGGGGAATCCAAGACCTGTTAGTATAGGAAGGGTTGTGAGAGACATGGAAGGCAAATTAATAGCCTTGTTTTCTAATCCACTGGGGATTGGGGACTCTCTTAAGGCAGAATTGCTTGCAGCCTTACAAGAAGCACAAATTGCTAATGAGCTAAACAGAACCAATTTGGTGATTGAAGGGGACTCAAAATTGGTGGTGGGTTGGTTAAGTGATCTAGAGTCTGTTATATGGTGCTACAAGGATGAGCTTAAAAAGTTTTTATGGATCACCAAGAATATGAATTTGAGGATACAATGGGTGAGGAGATTGGCAAATGGGTTAGCTGATACTCTAGCCAAGCAAGGGGTGAATAGACAATCTTTGTTTTGGGCTCACTTGTAATTTTTCTGTTTTGTTTATAGAGAGGTATCATCTCGTGCTTCTCTAAGGGATGCTTGTAATGATTATATTTTCAGAATTAATGAAATCTTAACTTCACTAATAAAAAAAAAGTATCAACCTGCTTATTATCAGTAAAACTGACGAACTTGAAAAAATCAGATGCATACTTGTGTTGGCAAATAAAATTATCCTCAATTACTCCTTTGGACTGCAAGTCCTAAGAAATAGGTGAGAACCCAAATCCTTCATCTAAAAGGTACTATGAATAAGAAACTTATGATCTTGAATTCCTTCTTCATCATCGCTGTTAGCAACATATCATCCACCTATAAGAGGAGAATTTTGATACCTTGAGGCCGTTTTTGGACAAAGAGAGACCGATCGAAAGCACTTTGACTGTATCCAACATCAACAATGACATCACAGAATTTCTCAAACCATGCTTGAGGGGCCTGTTTCAACCCATACAATGACTTCTTCAACCGGAAGACAAGGGAAGGATCACTACAATATCTAGGAGGAGGTTTCGTATACATTGTCTCCTTTAGCTGGCCATGGAGGAATTCATTCTTCACATCCAACTGACAGATAGACCAAGAATGTATAGTAGAAAGGGCTAATAGAACATGAATTGTAGTAATTTTAGTGATTGAGGCAAACATCTCCTCATAATCAATACCATACTCTTGTGTGTAACCCTGAGCCACAACACATGCTTTATATGGAAGTAGTGGATCGTTAGACTTAAACTTAATAGTGTAAACCCATCTACTCTGAATAATATAAGCATATAAGGGTGTAGGGACAAGACCCTAAGTGTCATTCTCATGCAAAGCTTGAATATCTACATCCATGACATCTTTCCAATATGAACTACAAATGGATTTTTGGTAAGAGTGAGGGATATCTGTGGAGGACAAGACAACAAAGGAGCTAGGGTTTGAAGGAAAACCATAGCGATTAGGTGGTCTAGATATATGAGTAGAGCGATGCAAAGGAGTAGAGGGAGCAAGGTGGGTATCTGAAACAGAAGTATGGGGCAGGTGGAAGGGGGATTGTGGGCAAGAAGATCCTTCACATCAATTGAAGAAGGTATGGCTTGTGAATCAAAGTCATACAAAACAGAAATAGATGGTGTACTGTAGGCAGTTTGGCTATGCCAACAAAGAATGAAGTATGCTCATGGAAAACAATATTACGAGATATACTGCTACGATTAGCAAAAGGATCATAACAAAGAAATCCTTGTGGTTAGGACTATACCCTACAAAGGCACACATAATAGATTGAGCAGAATGTTTAGGACGTTCATGATAAGGAAGATACACAAAACATAAGCATCCGAAAACATGAAGGTTAGATAAATTCGGAGGATAACCAAACAATTTTTGATAAGGAGACATATTAGCCAAAATAGAAGGAGGAACACCAGTTGATCAAAAACACAATTGTAGTAGTTGCCTTTACCCAAAAAGGAGGTGGAGCCTGTAACTCTTGTAGAAGAGTTCTCACAACACTAAGAATATGTCCATTCTTACAGTCTGCCACACTGTTCTACTGAGGAGTGTTTGGGCAGCTTCATTGAACTTGTACTCCATGATTCTTCAAGTAGGACAGAAAATCTCCGTCACAATATTCTCCCCCTGAATTTGAGCAGAGGAACCATACACTTGATTGAAACTAAACTCGAAGCATAGTATGGAACAACCAAAATGTTGGAAAAAGTTTTGATATGTGCCTAAGGGAGTAATTCAAAGTGTAGCTGGTACAATCATCAATGAACAATATAAAATACTTGTCTCCCAAGCGTGAAATAATAGATGAAGTCCATACATCACTATGTATAATTCCAAAGGGAGAGGTAGCGTGTTTAGTTGTGTGAGGAAAGGGCAAAGTACAACTTTTACTCAAATAACAAGTAACACAAGATGTATTAAAAGAAGGGATTTTATTTCTAATAAAGCCAAAGTCAAATAAAAAACTTAAAATTTTCAAAGTTGGGGTGACCCAAACATTTATGCCATAAATCTCAAACATTATTTCTTTGTCCCAAAACAGGACTAGATGAGGAAGAACTAAGATAAGCCGATGACTCTGTTTTTTGAGATTTCTCAAACTCCAATGCAAATAAGTGGCCCAACCTATGCCTCTTCTCTTTCACCTTCCTAGTGGACTGGTATTGAATCAAATAACCATCAAAAGAAAAAGTAAGAATGTGACCCTCATTAGCAAGCTGATCAACTGAAATAAGGTTAGTAGTAAGATTAGGAACAAAGAGGGTCTTGGTAAGGGGAAAGGAAGATGAGAGTGAAAGCTTAAGGCGCACAAAGCATTACTCCCAAATCCCAATGATGTTCAATTTCTCACCATTGACAATAACATTATGTTTATGGGTCTCAGAATTTTCTTGAAGGATCATTGTAGGCGGAACCTTTATATATTATATTATGTAGAATTGCAAGAAAGCCCTTATAGGGATGAAGGATTACAAGAAAGCCCTTATAGGTCTGAAAAGGGAAAAGAATAAAAGAAAAGGATACAATACGATAGTGACTATGATAATAGTATACATCAATATTCTCCACAATTTTTACTATTTGGATGCAGGTGCAACTTACCTATGCAAGCTGGTAACCTTTTTGACTCTACAACTTTCACTTGGCCTAAAATTAGGGGTAGGGTTTTAGGGATATGTGCTAGGGATACTTTGGTGTGGACTATTTGGGAGGAGAGGAATGCCAGAATTTTAATGATATGAAATGTGGAGGCGAAATTGGGGAATTGGGAAGTTGTAGTGAGGAGTTCTGTGGATAAGGTAAGGCCCTTGGTAGTTTAAGCCCCTCCTGATGTAGTCTTTATCAAGCTCAACTTTATTGGCAGCAGCCTTGGCAACCCAGGGCCTTCAGGAATAGGGGGTATGTTCAGGAACGCTGAAGGTCAGATATCCAGGCCCAGTAAGTAGTGGAGACTCTATTCATGTGGAGTTCCAAGCAGTTTTGCTGGGAGCTCAGATTGCTAGAGAGATGAATTTTGGTGGACACTTAATTGAAGGGGATTCCAAGTTGGTAATTTGTTGGCTAAAGGATCCATACTCTGTAATCTGGTCTTACACTTTTACAAGGATTCAATGAAAATATTCAAATGGTCTTATAAGGATTTCCAGTGGGAGCGCAAAGGCCATAGGGTTATTCCTGAAGCATTGGTTGTCTACTCTAATCTTCTGGTGGAGGACATGACTTGGGAGCCTTATCTGGATCTGCAGGCTCATTTTCCCACTCTAGACCTTTAGGGAAGGTCTCTCTTAAGGAGGGAAGGACTGTTAGGACCTCTGGGGAAGGATAATCGAGGTTGATAGCAAGTATGCAGGAAAAGGCCATGCCAGCCTACTAACAGTTCAGCCACTTGTGACACCTGAGTGCAACTTGTCCAATTGGCTGTAACAGAAAGAGGAGATTGTAACTAGTTTTAACTAATGCCTTGTAAAAGTATAAATAGTAGTGCAAGAATGAATAGAGCATCAAATATTCCACGAATGAGTCTCTCTCCCTCTTTCTCTCTCTCTCTCTCTTATTTTCAGGAGGTTGGCTCCCTCTAAGAGCCATGTGTTAGGCAGGATCCTAAGTCCTAACATAGAGCCTTTGTAGTACTAAAAAAAGGAGGGAATTTTAGTCATTATGAGCCATCTTAAATTTTATTAAGATGTCTTTTGTGCATGGGCCACCTCTTACCAAATTAGTCCTATTATTACTTTTTAGAGGCATGGTTAAAACGTTAACACAAACGTTAACACAAGCAAGTTTTTGAGATATCAGATCCCAAAGCATTATCAAACGCCATCTTAGAGTCTTTGTTTAGTGATTCCTTTTAACCTGCTTTTGTCTCTTCTTTTTTTTTAATGAATTTTCCTTTACCATAGAAGATTTTATTAAGAAACGAAAAATGGAACCATTTTTAATTCTCTGGTATTGATGTGTAATCTAGAAAATTTGAAGTTTTTTTACTAGGCAGCAAAAATTTGCCATTTATGTTTTTAACTGTGGGTGCACAAGAGTAATTTACTTTCATTTCTATCTGCATATTGGATGCTCTATTACAATGAAAACTTGAATAACTTTATAATTTAACAAGTTACCTTATCAATAAACTCCAAACTTCAGCTTCTGTTGGTTACTGGTTTTGTAGCAAGACTTTCAGATTCCTTTGACACAGCTTATATTTGTCTATTGCTGTCATGCAGAGTTGTTTATAATTTACAATTATATTAATGGTTAAGAGTTAAATCTATAGCATTGATGATCAGGTGGAGCTTCAATTCCATGACAGTGCTAATGTTAGAGAAAATGATGCAATATTCAACTACCGAAGGAAATATCTCCCAACACAACAGGTCTGACAGTGATTGCATCCATAATAGTACTATAGTAGCACCGTTTGAAATTAATCTGGTTTCTTGTATTGCTCAAAGAAGCATTGTGTTCTATTTCACAATGTGTACTTTTGATTGCACTCTATTTTTTTTGATGAGTTTTATCTAGATTTTCTTTCAGAAGGTGACCAACTACAATTCTCCCATCTTGGGTTAGCAGTGGTTTTTTTCCCCTACTGCATTGTATATGGTTTATTGGTTCTGAGCTTTAGGAATAGTATTCAGTTGAACTATTACTTGATGAACGTGCCTTTAAAAATATAGTATTTCATTTTGTTATGCCTACTTCAACTTTTTTTAATAAAAATGCTGATATGTGTTTTTTCACAGGTTGCTTATCACACACCACCTCGTTTTCCTACTGATGTAATTGCATGTATACGAGAAGGAGCATCTCTGTTATTTCAACGACTTGGCCTGCGTGATTTTGCTCGAATTGATGGTTGGTTTTTGCCTTCTTCAGTTCAATTCTCTTCATCTACTGAGAACCGTAAAATGTTTGGAAGGACTAAATCGGGTTCAATAATTTTTACAGATATCAATTTGGTAAGCTGGAGTTTGTATCACTTTCTGTGCATGTATGTGCTACTAATGTTTTTTTTTTTAATTTTTTTATGTATAGCTTCTCTTACTTTTCCCTTTTATGGATTTAGATTAGTGGGATGGAGCAAACCAGTTTTTTATTTCAGCAGGCATCAAAGGTATGTCCTCATTCTATTGCATTGTGACGAAAACTTTACATATCACCTAAGGTCCCATTCCATGAGCATTTGTGATTGACATTTAGTATTGCATAGCTTTCTCATAAAACTTGCAATGTTACATGTCATGCGTCTTGGAAGTACTATGGTATATTATAATTACATCCATCCACTGAAATAGGCATGCCCGCGACTACATGAAACACTGAACACACTCAACACAGCCCTTATTCCAACTATTTGGTGCCAGCTGCACAAGTCTTGCTATGTCTCTTCTTTGTCTAGTGACTTTATTGTTCTTTTAGGTCCTTCAACTTGCATCAATTCACTCCTTCCTACTAGTGTTGTCTGAAAGCTGAACCACTGTAGTCGAAGTAGCAGAAAAGAGGAGAAGAAGAAGAGATGCTGAAAATGTCGAACTGTACTTGCAGTTGACCATGCCTTTATTTATATATAAGTGAAGTACAAAGTACAAGAATTTACTGGGATACCCCTGATTAGTGATGGGACACCCAGAAGACTTAAGACATAAACAAGATTAGGCCCATTAGCAAAGGCCCAGTTACAAGATAAGTTTAACATAAGAATGGGCTAATAGGAATTCTTATCAGCCGAACACACTCAAGCCTTCTWACATATCATTCTAACATTGTCATCGGGCTTTCATGCACAACTAAAACAATCTTTGCGATGCCAAAAAGAAAAAATCGTAGCTGGCTTTATGACCCATTGGAGTCACTCCTATCATAGTTTTCAAGGCACCAAGACGAGGCTGTGCCTAGTCGCCTAAGCGCCCGCCTAGGCGATGGATTTTTTTATGTAGAAAACATAGATCCTAGGGTAGTTCCCTAGGTACCATTACCATATTTCCTTAAGAATCATTCATAATTTTCATAAGAAAAGTATGGAATTCATGTTTAAGTATATGAAATCAACATATTCATGAGAAGAAAAAGAAGGAAAAGAAAATTAAAAAAGTATAGGGGCTGAACCCTTATTTTTGTTATAGGAAAAGAAGAAAAGAAAATGTGTTGATTAGATAAAATTTTAAGTTCTTCCTTATTGGTTCAGGTTTTAAAGTCTTTGGGGGTTCAATACAGCATTTAGCAATGTTTATTTTGATTAAACCCTAACAAATAAGAAAATAATAAAAAGAAATTAGTATATAAACACTCAAAATGAATATTTTAGTTTAATAGTGCCTATTTTATAATTATAATGTCAAAAAATAAAGAATAAAAAGTATTTTATAATACATAGTACAAAACTG